TCGATATGACTGAAGTTAAATTTTAGTCGTTTTTCAGCCTAACTGAATTATTCTGGGAAAACTAAAATAAGTAACGCTTAGTTACCTAACTTTATACGCTACATGAAGTTTTCACTTTTAGTGATTAAAAGTATCAAAAAAGTTACCATACTACAGAAAAATTACTACTACAGAAGTTACTACTACAGAAAAATGTCTTTCGACATTACGTTCAGTACATATTTCACCAAAGAAATCTTCTATACAGAACAAAAAAATAGTCTAGAAAAAGTCTCGGAGAGTTTTGCTACCGGCACTTTTGTATCGAGACTATTCGAGACCGAAACTTTCGAGACTCGGGACTAATCGAGACTGTTCGAGACCGAAACTTTCGAGACTCGAGACTACTCGAGACTAAAGTTTCGGGTATCGAGTACCCCGTCTCGGTGCATCCCTACCCTCAATTTTCTGTAATATAAACTGGAAAAACAGAATCGAATTTCCAGATTCTTGGGAATTATTTATAGAAATCCAATTGATTTGCTATAAACTGTAAAATCGAAAATTATTTATAGAAATGCTCGAGCATTAATACCCTATCTGCAACGTGCATTTTTTCTGCACTCCAGATGTGCCAAGGTTCGCCCACAGATCTGATGCAGATCTGTAAAAAATTCTTTGCAGTTTCTTTGCAGTAAATCTGCAGATTTTTTGCAGATTATGCTTGTTGCCATAATGGTTTATTTTATAATAATTTACAAAATGTGGCGTACAGTTCAGTAGGATACAGGCCAAAAACAGATGGAAGACAAAATCTTTTTTTGCTCGACTGTATACAGTCGAGCATACAGAGTGTATACAGATTATTTGCATATTCATATATGAACATGTAAATACTACATATTCGAGAGCGTTATATTGTCCTACGCAGAGATGGGCTGCTCCGACCATTTCTCGCTCCAGCTCCAGATAATTACCAACCGCTCCACTCCGACTCCGCTCCAAGCTCCAGTCTCACTGAAAAACACTCGCTCCGACTCCGGTCCAGCTCCACCATCCTTACGAAGCACTCCGCTCCAACTCCGCCATGACAAAACAAGTTTTTTTCCTATTTTTTTAAAGTTTGATGCTCGGTTAACAACGATTGATCACGTAATTCTGACATAGTAAAGTTTGATTGTTCAACTTTCACTTGAATGAGAAATTTGGTTCTATTCTGTCATCGCTGACTTCTCACACATTTTATTTTATCTAATTTCTCTCTTCGTCGACCTCGCGTTCTTACATTTCGAAATTAACAATTAAACAATCAAATTAGCCGTAGAATAACCGGCTAAATGAACGTTGAATCATTGTCTCAAACATTGCCACTAACAGAAGGAGAACAACGGCATATTCAGTATAATGAATAGTCGATGACGGATTTTTCTCTTACTGATTCTTTCATCATTATTCATAGAACCGTGAAGCGAAAAATTGAACTATGATTTGAGCTAAAAAAAAGACGCTCTGACTCCGCTCCAGCTCCATTTCACTCACAACTTGTGAGTGAAATGGAGCTGGAGCGTTGTGAATCACAACGCGCTCCGACCTTGTAGCTATTAAGAATCGGTCGCTCCAGCTCCGAAGGTCATTAATCGCTCCGCTCCTGGTACGGTCCATCTCTGCTCCTATGATTATTTTAATTATTGTCATGAAGTTTGCGCGCTTTAGAAAATGAAAGTTGTTGATTTTCGTGTCACTGCCCACGTTGTTTTTTTGAACGTGATGTATAGAAACAGCTGAGATGTGTGTATATATACACAAATGTATTCCAAATGATAATGCTTTTAAAAAGAAGAAAGAATGACCGTTTTATATACATAGACTAGAACCTTTCTCTTTATAAACACATAGAGTGCCTTGGGATAATTATGGTCAGGTCCTCAAAATTTCGTCGTATTTCTGCTATAGTTCGCTCAATTTTTATCCGAGAAAAGCGATATTTTACAGGTAAATAGCGGTGACTGCTGGCTATCGATTCATGTAAAAATTTTCTCAAAATTCATTAGCGTTACCCTATAAAAAAATTCCAGTGCGGCACTGCCAGTGCGCACCGGTGCGCATGGCATGCCATCGGTCATTGGCACTGGCTGGCACCGGTGCGCACCCGTGCCCAGCAAGTGCCGAATCGGTGCCGATATATTTCTGCTGAAAGAGTGCCGCACTGCTAAAAGTCAGTGCCGCATGGGTGCCGCACTGATAATTTATTTAATCAATTTAATTAGTTCTTTATTATGGTTGTTTATGCTGAATTTTGTGTTAGAGTGCGGCACTGATCAGTACCACATCGACATGCCAAAACCATGCGGCATTGCCTCGGCACTTCTCTTATGAGAAGGAAAAAATGAAGTCAGAAAGACATTCGAAATATTAGAAGTAGACCGTAGCGTTAATATAGATAGAAATTGACAAAACAAAATGGTGATTGAAAACAAAACTTCGGCACTGGTGCGCATCGGTGCGAGATTTTTACATTCTTTCTGGCACCGATGCGCATCGGTGCCCAGAAAAAATAATTATTCGGCATCGGTGAGAGAATCTTAAATAACTAAGTTTTAACGAGGGATTTCAAGGAAATAATTAAAAATTATATCATCTTGTAGAGAATTTCAAGCTCCATCACCTGTATGAATTGCATGCTATTGGTGCTTGCCGTTAATTAATTAATTAGAAACTACGAGAATGTGTAGTTTTCGAAAAAAAGTCACTTGGGGTAATTATGGTCACTGAGCTATTTTTCATGGGGTAATTACGGTCAGTCCATGTAGTTTGCACGGAAAAGTCAGAGTTTAAATTCCATCGACTTACAGAGACCGATTTTACATCAATGGCAGATAGAGAAGTTATAGACGAGATTGTTCTCTATTATATGAAGTGAAAACTGGAACAAGATCGCTTGGTTCTAGCGTTTTGTAGCCGTCTGTTGAGTTTTGCTGAATTTTAGCACATTATTGTACCTGATTTTTGACAGTCCAATTGCGGTAGTACCTGTAATAATTGTGCAATTAAAAAAGTGTTGAACTTTTCATATTCTCCAGATACTCTTCTATCTCTTGAGTTAAAGAAAAATTTGAAGACCTAAATTTTTATTTGAATTATGTAGCATTTGACTCAATGACCTAAAGAGGCTGTCATGAAATTCAGATCACTTTTAGCAAAGAATGAAGTGAATTGATAAAAACTTTATTTAAAAATCATTGAGGAACATGTTTGATTGTTTGACTGTACAAAATATTAATGTGAATATGACAAATACTTGATTTTTTGTCAACTGTTTTGAATACAATTAACGAATTTCTAAACATAATTAATTTGCGTCTCGTAAGTGATTAATTTTGTATAGTAATAAGATGCCGCTTAATCTTAGACAAATGTTCACTATTCGCATGGACTTATCACGAGCATCGGAATCTACAATGGAACTGGTCACAACATCATTATCTCCATTGAGTCCTGGAGCAGTAATTTGTAATGCTCTTTTATCTATGTGTCCACCTGTCGTTGAACAGCCGCCAACCAAGAAGGTGGTTCTTAATCGTCAAGCAGGACAACTTTTAACATGTGAAGAAGCATTAGATCAGATGAGGGAGAAAGAAGAACGAGCACCCAAGAAGGTGAAGCCAGTTCAGAAAAGGACATTAGTGAAACAAAAAAAGAATTCCAAAGCAAAGAAATTGTCCATAATTGAAGATGGTATGTTATGCTAGCTGATATCTTCGCAAGTAATCAATTGTTTATTCTATTCAGATATAGATATTGTAAATTATGACCCATTAACAAAAAGATGTATGATCATCATTAATTCAACGAGTACAACATCTACTACTGTTTCATCAACAACTTTGATAGAATCAAATTTTCAACAATCTTCAATTATTAATCCTCACTACTCTCTATCATCAGATCCTTTTAGTAATATACCAGGTTTGGTTTCTAATACTTTAAAAAGTAACATTTCACATCATACAATTTAAATTTTAGGCTATTCAAATTTTTTTACATCACCAATTACTTCTGTTCCTCCTCTAACAACATTCTCTTAATAACAACATTGTCTTAATACTCTTTCGGTGTTCGAAATCCTTAACACCATCGTGATATTCGACTGTTGTCCCTCAACAAGTGATTGTACGATGGCTGTGATGATCTGAAGTACCTGATGATGGTTTATGTGATCACCCTCACTCTCAACTAATTACTCATATCTTCATCCTGCTACTTCGCCAGTTAATAATTATCCTTGTTCTGATCCAACTTCTTACCCACCATATAACTCATCGTCGTCTGATCCTCATACTCATGTAATCCCTACTCAACTGCCAAATTGTTTTAGATGCCGCTATCAATCTTCTCATCTAATACCGTGTTCATCATGTATACGATATATTTGCAGAGCTTGTGTAACACCTGATTCCTCAAATTCTACAACTTCATCTTTTCTTGATATAGTGCAAAACTGTTTCTCATCGTTTTTTTTGCAGATTATGTTTGTTTTTGTCCGTTTTTCAAAGGAATCATTCCAAAAAAAGGAAATATTTTACAAGATAAGTGCACAGCAGTTTCCGAGAAAGGAAGAGAGCGAATTAAGTGAAATAAATCTTTCCAATATCTCCTTAGTCACAGAATTGAACTATATCCTTCTTACTTTTCTCAAATAATGCATCAAATCTAAGGTATCTTCTTCTGCATAAGTTCAGTTAAACAAAGTGATTGTGTGTGATCTCAAAATAAAAATGTACAGGAGTGAGAAAAATGCACCCAAACATTGATGTCTTCACAAACGTGAGTATCCTCGATGTAAGATCGTTTTGCCATTAGTGACAGAATGTAGTGCATATCAGCTCGGTTCTGTTTGACGCACAGACGATAGGGGCTTAGTCATTCCGCCTCATTCGCAGAATGCCAGATTGGCTCTAGCAACGAACTGGTCCTAGCGATAATATCCGCAGATATACACTCTCTGAAAGTTCAGGCGTGACTGCTCGATGTTCCACATACGGCAAACGTAACCTTACTGGTTAAACTCACAAGTGAATAAACTAAGAGTCATCAGTTTTTCTCACTTTTAATTTAAGGTCATTTTCGATCATATGTCGAATCAGAATTGAGAAACACGGGGAAGTAGGTAAGAACAGCTGGCCGCAGTTGCTGTGCACTCTCTCTGATTCAGTCTTAATGTTGACTTTTCCTTTTCAGATAGAGATTATCGCATAATGGAAGCATCTTCTGGTTGACGAAGACTTCAAAAATCGATTGCATCATGTACTCGAAGAAAAGTCCGAGTAAACATTGTGGAAGCAAGTGTAACGAGCTAGAAATCTACTACAAAGCTAGAGATCGATTAGGCATGAGTTTTTTGACGTATGCACTACCACACAATTACACGTATGCTACCATATAATCACAAGCTACAGCATCACACTAAACTGCAGATTTTTTATACAACCTCCAATTTTAATGCAAAGAACCTGCGAAAATCTGATGCAGATCTGTGACCAAATCTTGGCACATCTGTAACAGATCTGCAAAAATTCTTTGCAGATCTACAAAGATTCTGCGAAGATTTTTACACATTTCGACTGCAGAAATACCACCTGGGTCGGCGATTTTTAAAAAGTCCGTATTCGCAGTCCTAACGGATTTTCCAGATTATAGAAAATCGAGTTTTCAAGAAAACTGGAAAATCGGTTTTCTAGATTGTTGGGAATTATGCATAGAAAATCCAGCTCAATTTTCCAACTTTCTTGAAAATCGAGCTGGATTTTCTAGGCTGTTGGAAGTTCGATTTTCTAGAATTTAGAAAATGCTCAGCGATTTTACGTATGAACTTTTCGAAAATCGAAAAGTCGGATTATTTTCTATTTTCGAGAAAATCGCTGCGGATCTTCTAGATGATGAGGAACAACAATTTGATTGAGAATAATGCTGATAATCAAAGACTTGCAAAGTGAAATGGCTAGAGATAAACTTTTTCACCGTTATTAAACGATATTAAACTTCGTAGTTGAGTGGAGTGTGTTATTTCAGCTTATTGGATGATAATATGGATCTTTTAATTATGAAAAACAAATTCGACATCGACATCACCTGTTGAACGATTGTTATTCTGGGAGGGTGAAAGTTCAGCACGAAAATTTCACCACTAGGAAAGATCAGCGAAAGTATTGATATTTCATAATTTGGAAGCAAAAGTCGAAATTATAATTCTTGCAAAATGGCAAGAACAATATATTGTATATAGTGTATACAATATATGTTTATAAACTGTATACGGAGTTATGTATAGATCATGCCTGCAAATATAAATCTACTTATGAGATTAAGAGATAAGTTTGAGATTGAAGTTTTAAACTACGAAACAAAAAGCACGTTTGGATGTAGATGCTTTCTCATATATAAAAGAATGAAAAAACATATTGGCATTGTATTAATTATTTTTCTCAAATCGTCACTCTCGCCTTCATACATGGATAATAATAAAAAATTACAATGATATATTACTTGCAATAGAATCAAGTTGTTTTAAACCATCTGCATGCGGGTCAGAAATAATATTTAACAAACGTTTTTCAAAACGTTCATTTCTCTTACTTTTCAGTTTTGGTGCTTGGCCGGTACTAATGTGTAAGATGTCCATATGTGTCGCGTTTTATTCTTTCTCTAAGAAGGACCAAAGTGTTGGATGTCAACTTTGAAAAACGGAGCCGATTCGACGGTGATAAGCTCCACAACGTTGTTTGTTCTCATAGCTGCATCCGTTGTCTGATACTACATATTCCAAAAATCAATACTAAACTTGGGCTGTCGTCTTGTTTGATTAGGTCTAAGTCGTCCTAAAAAAATACATATTTTCTTAAACCGTGAAACTATAATCATAAACACCCACGACCACATACCAATATATGTTTCTTCAAAATAATCAATAATATCTTCATAATCATCGCCAAGACTTAAGGATAAGCGTTCAGATGCATTTATAACACCATTCGGGTGGATGAAAGCTAATGCGACAAACTTGTGAATATTATGTGCGAATATGGGATCGTTTTGATATTGAGTTTGATAATCAAGAGGCTAAATGTTACTACCAACGGATAAGATTAGGAATCGAAGTTCATATGTAATACTCACTGTAATTTGACGATGGACACTTTGTCTTAAATGAAAATAGCATCCAGACAGGGCGATATGGGGAAAACTTGCATCTAAAAGAATACATAATACATGCTTATTCAAAATCAAGCATAAATGATCGAGAATATCCGTGTAGTGCAAATTCGACTATTTAATTTATTCGTCGAATTTGCACCACAACGTTGATATGTTACAACATTTTTCCGACGTAATAATATAATGCGTAAAGTACGGGGACGACGTGACCACGATATATACCGTGAAAATTATATAACGAGTAGAAAATTTCAGAAACAACCTAAATAAAACCGATTATAGAAATACAAATAATCGACTATGCGTCCTATAATATATGCTTATTCAAAGAACAATCAATAATAATAATAAGCTTCTTTATTATTTAGATAAAGAATAAGCGACTTGACATATCTTGAATGTCTTGCCGGACACCGTACGAGCATTTTAAAGTTTTTTCGAGGTGACAGTTATGCTTAGAGTGATGAGTTCTACTAACTCAGAATGTCTTATACTATTCGCATGAAGTCGATGTAAAGTATGGTACACTCCCGAAAAAATCATATCT